GTCCGAACGCTGGCCCCGAACATTTTCCCCACCGGTTTCCTGGGTCCTACTTGCGCGTCCCTAGTTGGACTTCTAGGGTTTTATTGTGTATGTAATAGGCATATGACTGTATCTATATACCTAACTTAAATACCTCTATATCTATAATTGCATGTTCCTACAGTGGGAAGCCCCGCCAGCCGAGGCGGGCGCGGCCAGCGTTTACAATTATACTATGGTCTTTCGTGAATTAGGAATCGCTTCACGGGATTCCCAATAATAATGAGAATTGAATATTTGGTGGGTCTATAGTGGGGCCGCCCCCCCCGGCATGGAAACTGTCAAGCGGGGAGTATAAGGGAGTGATCTTTGGAGTGATTTAGGCTTCCGGTTTCCATTTCATGTGTGATTTGATGCTCCATTGTGGGGTTACCTATGAGGGAATACTGGCGGTAACTTTGCAAGCTCCTGGCCTATATACCCTAAATCCCTAAACCCAAATCACTAGATCCCCCAAATCCCCAGACCCGAAATGCTTAAATCCTAGATCTCTACCTTCTAATCCCTAAATCTCTAAACCCTAAATCCCTAAAACCCCGAATCCTAAAACCCTAAACCCTCTAAACCACAAGCCCTCTAAGCGCCCAGCCCAGCGCGCGGAAGCAACTCCCGGAGCCGCGCGTAGCGCGGCACACCAAGGCCAGTTGCTGGATCCTCAGGCAGTTCAGGATTTGGGGCTTGGGGTTGACAAATTTAGGGTTAGGGTTTAGGGTTTGGGGTTTGGGGTTTGGGGTTTAGGGTTTGGGGTTTACGGTTTATGGTTTAGGGTTGGGGTTTGGGGTTTGGGGTTTAGGGTTTAGCATTAAGGCTGAGGGTTGCTCAGGGTTTAGGGACTAGGGCCTAGGGTTTAGGGAATAAGGGTTACGAGATGACGGTTTAGGGTTTGGATTTGAATCAAGGTTCTCAGGATTAGGACTTAGGCTTTAGGTTTCGAGCTTTGGAGTTTCAGAATTCTCGGATCCTTAGCAATCAGGACTTGAAAAGGGTAGGGGCTTGCCCTAAGCCTTACAACTTGAACCCCCTAAACCCTAAACCCTAAACCCCCCGAACTGAAAAGGCGACTCTAAACACTTCTAGAACCGCAGAGGTTTAGGGCGGCAGCGTTGTTGGGCTGAAGGGTCTTGAGGATTTACAAAGCTTAGGGCTCATAACATTCAACATTCCGATCTTGCCCCTGTATTACAGCATATCACAGTGGGAATCAACCCTAAACCGTAAGATCTCTATCCTAAACCCTAAGCTCAGAATCCTGAATTCTAAGCCCTAAACTCAGAATCCTAAATCCTAAACCCTAAGCTCTGAATCCTAAGCCCTAAACCCTAAACCCTAAATCCTAAACCCTCAACTCTGAATCCTGAGCCCTAAACCCTAAACTCGAAATCCTAAACCCTAAACTTTGAATCCTAAGCCCTAAATCCTAAACTCGAAATCCTAAGCCCTAAACCCTCAGCAGCAAGTGGCCCACCCGGGGCCGGCTCGGAAGCCCAGCTTGCACAGTTGATCCTGAATGGGGCTTAGGGCCGAAGGTTTGTTTAGGTCTGTTCAGGATTTAGGGTTTAGGAATTTTGGGATTTACGGTTTTGGGTTTAGGGTTCAGGAATTTGGGGTTTACGGTTTAGGAGTAAAATTTGAGGCTAAACCCTAAAACCGGCTCAACTAGGGCTTAGACTTTAAGCCGTAAGGTTTACGGTTTAAGGGTCGTCAGGGGTTAGGGTAGCAGCTTCAAGGTTTGGAGTTCAAGTCTTAGTGCTCAGGGTTTCTCATGGGGCTACTAGGAGGGGCCCTGCGAATGGTCATCCCATGGGTTTAGGGAGTAGGGTTTAGGATTTAGGGATTAAGGTTTAGGGCTTAAAGTTTAAGTTTAGGGCTTAGGGTTGTTTAGCTCATTGTTTAAGGGTTCGGGTTGATCCATTGATGTAGGTTTTTGGTGTTTTTTGGGGGGCTTAGACAGGGGCTTAGCGCGAGCAAACCTCCAGCACGGACATTGGTTTTGCAGCAGGAAGCCACCAGTTTAATTAACCGTGGTTCTTAGGGAGCGAGGAAATGGATACACTGTGAATGTATACCAACAATTCCTGCATGACCTTTTGGTACTTGGCTGCTATCATTCAAAGGGTTACAGTACTTGCTGGGTCATGCAGAATTTTCATGTGGGACCGCATAGGGGCTACTTGTCGTTTCTATGCCCCCTTTTCGGTAAAGATGAACAGTATGTCAACTTGGGGCGGTGTGTTACTGACAACAACTACTTAGGAAATCTAGTTGCAACCCGAATACATATTCTCCAAATCTACTAATTAAACAAGGCACAAGGCTAATTATGTTTATTGTCAGTTATAACTCAGGTATAAACACCAAGTAGGAGCCTTCAAATGTCAAAGCGTTGCAAGATTTCCAGCATCAACGGCAGTAGTGAAGGAACAGTGGCCCAAATTCTCCCCAGAATGCTTCCCATGCATGACTCCCTAAACCCTAACCCCCCTGTCCCTTAAGTGGCTCTACGCCCTACCTGCAACCCAAATTACGTCGCATGGCATCAGGGCTGCAATCTCCGTGACGTTCGAAATTTCAGACACGCACCAAAGAAGCCCCAAACCCTACTTGGAGGTCCGTTGTACTTATAAACTACTCAGTAATTGTAGTTATAAGCAAATTGTAAGTCCCATAACTACAGTTACTAACTAGGTTATAAGTACAACGGACTTCCAAGCCCTAAACCCTAAACCCTAAACCCCTAAACCCTAAACCCCAAAACCCTCAATTTTGAGGTTAGCAGTTCCGTCCTCCGTGGACGCTGTATCACCCACAACCACCTGGGCTCCCCCAAGAACTACTGTACGTAGGTTTAGGGTTTAGGGGTTTAGGGCTTAGGGTCTGTACGTAGGCATGGGGCCAAAGAGATTTGAGCTATAGCCTAAACTCCTAGTATCCCACTTAGTAGCCCCTATAATGGTCCCCCATACAATCCCCGATATAACCCCTTTTAGGGAGTTTAGACTGTAGCTCATTGAGGGTTTGGAGTGGAGGTACCTAAACGAGCAGAAAAACGGGAGAATCCAACGGAAACGACTGCGGCAATAGGGCGTACATAATGAGCCTACTTGGAGGTTCATGGGACTTAGTAACTACTGATAACTGGGGTTATAACCGTACTTATAATTGGGGTAACCCCAATTAAAGGTCATTTAGGGGGGTTATAAGTAGGGTTATAAGCCCAGTTACAAGTAGTTACTAAGGCCCATGGGCCTCCAAGTATCAGGTGTTTGTAATGTAACGACATTTGTGGTTCTATGAGGTATGCCACACCAGCGTTGCATCAGCTACAGTCGCAGGCAAACGTTTCTCCTGTTGTTTTCAGAAATTTTGTCTGTTTCACAGAGATGCATGCTTAATCTTACTT